CAAGTACGTTTAGATGTGGAGCCACTTCTTGTTAATTGACTTTTTTTTTTTTTTTTCCTTAAAAAAAATTTATTTTAATTAATATTACTGTCTTGGGTGTTAAATTACTGTCTCCAACAGTAATTTAACTGTCTTAAACAATAATATTAATAATATTATTGTTCGGAAAAATAATATTCATAATATTACTGTCCCAAACAGTAATATTACTGTCTGAGACAGTAATTTAGTAGTCAAGACAGGAATATTAATTAAAATATTTTGTTTCTAAGAAAAAACAATTCAAAAAAAAAAAAAAAAAGTCAACGCCGGAAACCGGCGGTCAACGGTGGTTGACCGGCCGGAAAAAAAATTGAGGAAAAATTTCTTTTCAAAAAAAAAAAAAAAAAAAAATGTCAACGCCGGAAACCGGCGGTCTCCGGCGGTCAACGCCGGAATCTTGCCGGAATCTGGCCGGAAAAAAAACATTTCAGAAAAAAAATTATTTTCTGAAAAAAAAAAGTTTTGGGGGTTAATGTGATATATTTGTTTAAATCCAGGGTCAATGTGTAATATTAAGGAAGTTAGATCATATTGGGTGGAATTGATAAGAATTATATTATTGAGGGTATTTTAGACTAAAGACATGGGGATGGGCTTAATTGAGAGACTTTTTTTTTGTGGACCAAAATGCATTTAAGTCCCATGTGATGGGCCTTTTTGCCATTTGCCCTTTTTTGAAATATTGCTATGAGTTGGTTAAGAAAATATATAGTTTGGGAAAATTGCGACCGATATATGTGCAGGGAATTTATGAATTTTCAATAATTCTGTTAAATAATATTTTTTTCCTGACTATTTAAAATAATTTTGTAATTGGTTTAATTTCATAAATATTTAATTTAAGGACTAAATAGCAAACATTTGATTTTTTTTTTTTGAAAATAGCAAACATTTGATTAGGGCATCTAAAAGTGGAATTCTCGTGCTGCCAGCGAACGACGCCGTTTGGAAGCTTGTTCGGCTGGACCAACCAAACCACAGTCGAGAGTGGAATTCACCAATCCCTCCGCCGCCGCCGCCGCCGCCGCCGCCGTACCAGCTAATCTCCGCCACTGTCAATTTCCCCATTTATTTTTTCCTTGATTTAATCAAACATCTGATGGGAAAGGGTGGGGGCTGCGTCCCAAGCAAGAAAAAAAACCCCATACCCACCACCACCACTCTCGCCGCCGCCTCCACCGCCGCCACCGAGGAAGAGGATGACCTCCCTGAATCCACCCCGCCGTCCGCCGCCAACAACGACCGTGCAGCTGAAGCTTCTACCTTCGCTCCCTCCGAACCCAATCGGAATCTCAAACTCCTGATAGTGTACTACTCGATGTACGGCCACGTGGAGGGCCTCGCCCGCCGGATGAAGCGGGGCGCCGACAGCGTGGGCGGCGTCGACGCCGTGCTCTACCGGGTGCCCGAAACCCTTCCCGATGAAGTCCTCGCCAAAATGCTGGCCCCCCAAAAGGACGATTCGGTTCCCGTGATCGGTTCTCCGGAGGATTTAGCCGGCGCCGATGGGTTTCTCTTCGGGTTTCCGACGAGGTACGGGTCCATGGCTGCGCAAATGAAGGCTTTCTTTGATTCGACTGGGCAGCTATGGAGGGAGCAAAAACTCGCCGGAAAACCAGCCGGATTTTTCGTCAGCACCGGCACTCAAGGCGGCGGCCAAGAGACCACTGCGTAAGGCCCCCCTTACCCTTATTATTTTCTTTGTTTTGATACTCGATATATGTTCGGTTTTAATAACAATGTTTGCTGCAAGAATTAGCCTTTGATTGATTGAGTTTCGATCGGTACGAATTCAAGAAATGCGTATATTGAGTTTCTTGAAAATATCATCAAATCAGTTATGTGAATTCTAAATAAGATGCACATTGATCTTCGGTTTTTATTGGTTAACTTTTCTGCTGAACTGATTCCGTGATTCCTATCGTAAATTTCTTTCGGGGACTTATTTACTAGATAAGGGGATAGTGTTTGAACGAAACAAGTGGGAATCTTTGTTCGGTGACTAAGTCTATGATGGAAAACCAATCAATCTATAGGTTCGTTCACGATGATTGGAAAGTGTTTAGGAACTAGGAAAGTTAAAGAATAAGTTGAAATTTCAGTGTTCGGCAAATAAAAATATGTAATTCAACGTTGTCTATAATTGTTAACGTAAAGATCGATGACCTTTAGCCTGAACAACGTGTTCGACTCGTACGTTATATCTCGTTTAAAAACAGTTAGTAATAATAGTAGTAGAATCAAATCACCATTAAGAACTTGTGAAAGTGCATTAAAACTCGTGTTTTTTCATCATCTGTTCTTCTCTTCACTATTTGTGTTTGTTCGATGGGCAAAGAAATGGGTGAGTCATGAAAGATGAGATCGAGTAACGTGTTTATGGGACCATATTTTCTTTGACCACCGAAGCATATTGTACAATCACAAGAAATATACACGAACCCCACATCGTTTCAAAAGGCATTATTTCCGAGCCGTTGTTTAATATTATTTGGCCTCGTTTGGTTGGCAAGATTAGTGACGGTTGATCAAATAATCGGACCTTATTGGATGTATGCTTAGTCCATCAACTTTTTAAGCGAACCCACAATTGTGATTAACCAAACGAGGCCTTAGTATATTCACTTTTGGTTTACGATTCGATGATTTGCTTCTTACTTAGTAAAAGGCCGATATTACTGTTTTAGTTTTGTTGTTTGTTGTACATCTTTGTCTCTTTGATGAAATAGGGCCCTCGTATACAACCGTAAGATGATAAGAACGAACATGTGTTTCGTCGTGCGATAAAATTCGATTTAATTTGTTACGTTGACCGATTTAGGTGGACTGCAATTACACAACTAGCACATCACGGAATGCTGTTTGTTCCGATTGGATATACTTTCGGAGCAGGTATGTTTAAAATGGATTCGATAAGAGGTGGCTCTCCCTACGGTGCTGGAGTTTTTGCGGGTGACGGAACAAGGGAACCGAGTGAGACGGAGCTTGCACTTGCAGAGCATCAAGGCAAGTACATGGCTGGTGTTGTGAAAAGACTATCTTGCCCCTGAACACTTTCTACTCTGCGTTTGTTTTTATTGTTGGTTTCGTGTGTGGTTTTCGGATATTTTTGGTCTTGCCCCTCCTTTCGATTCTTGATTAAAAGCCAAAACAATTCGTGCATAATCATTCTTTTCTTTTTTCAAATTGTTTGCTTTTTTTTTTCTTCGTGATATTGTTTTCGAAGCGTACATGGTTTTATTTTATTTTTTAATTGTTTTTTTTTATGATTGATTAGAGTGTAATAAGGTGTGGCTACTTTGGCTCTCTTGTTTCTGTATATTGTATTTGTCTATTGAGTTCAATTTGAATTCAGAAGAGAACTTATTTCTATCGTCTGGAATCGTTTATTCTATTCTAGGGTGTTCGGAAAAAACAATGTATGAGGAGAGAAGAAAAACGAGAAGTGCACATTTTTCATATATAATTATGAGGGAAGAGATTCCAGTATTCGATCTTGCACAAATGTACGAGGACTGATCCGATTCTAATTCCGAAAAAAGTCTGAATTTGTGAAATTATATCGGTTTGAGAGAGAAAGTAATTTTTTTTAGGGTCCATTTGATATACACCTAGTATGGAAAATATATAACGATAGGTTTACCCCTAAAATTCTTCCTTTGATATACTCCTGGAGAAACAAATGTACTATTGTGCCTTTAATTGCAATTTCAGGTCAACTGCATTCAGTATTTTTGCCCCTGCATTCAGCATAATGCCCAAATGTATGTAGCATTTTTGGGCTTGCATTTATCATTTTTATATACTAATTTAATAAAAAAAATATAAATGTTTACTTTATTATTATTTTTTATATATACCCTCTTTTGTATTTTTTATTTATTTTTAATTTTTAATTTTTTTTAATTTTTAATTTTTTAACTTTTTAATTTGTTTTTATGTTTTTAATTTGTTTTTTTAATTTTTTTAGGGGTGAGGAAAAAAAAACCGAAAAACCGAAAACCCGAACCGAAAAACCGAGCCGTTTCAAACCGTACCGAATAACAAACCATATGTACGGTTTTTTATTTTTGAAATACCGAATTATTCGGTTCGGTATGGTGGAAAGGGTAAATAACCGAACCGAACCGAATATATAAAATGACTTCATTTTATGTAATATATGTATTATTTTACCCTAATTTTTACTTTCTATCTTTCAATTACTTGTCTCATTCTAAGCATTTGTTCATAAATTAAGAAATTGTATTTTATTTATATAGTAAGTAAAATTTTACTTGAGTTCATGGTATTATTTGGTTTTAATAATGTGGATGATAAAAGTAGGAAAAAAAAACATAATACATCATATAAATTACGTTAAGTCTTATGGGGATTAACGATTTTATATTTTCATTGCATTAGTTAGTTGCGAAAGTAATCGTAATTGGATTCTTTTGTTCGTATAACTTGAATATATAATTACTCTTGAACCAAAAAATGACCGAAACCGAACCGAAAAAAACCGAAACCGAACCGATGAAAAACCGACATGTATGGTTTTTAATTTTACAAAAACCGATATATTCAGTTCATGTCCGGTTTTTGCCAAAAACCGAACCGAACCGACCCGTGCACACCCCTAAATTTTTTACTGTACTGAAATTGACTACACATGACTATAGGATAATAAACATGACTATAGGATACTACACGTAAATATAGTATACCATAGTCATGTATTCATGTACTGTCTTTTTACCCCAAAATTATTCTACAACAACAACAAAATTCACAATTTTAATCTTGATATTATAAATCAATTAACCCAAAAAAAAATAAAAAAACACAATCACATGCATATAATCTTCAAACATGAACATGCATTACTATACATTAGAAAAAAATAGCATACATATATGATATAACTATATGTTACTACACGTGACTATAGTTATCTACAATTATCGATAGTTATATATAGTAACATAAAGTATAGACTACTGTAGTATGAATCCAACTTCACAAGGCACTTCGCCGCATCTTATTCTCTGCATCTCATAAAATTATACAAATAGCAAAACTTGCGACAAAAAAACACGAGTTAAAGAGCAAAATGGAACTTGCAAATTATAGTACATGAAAAAATACAAAAAAACAATGAATTTTTATTTTATTTGATAAATTTACCGTACTGAAATCGACTACAAATGACTATAGTATATTACCAATTCTATAGTCATGTATAGTTATATGTACCTCTATGACTACATATAACTGTATATGACTACATATAACTGTACATTCACCTGAACCAAATCACTCATCTAAGTAACCACTACTGATTAAGTTTCTACTACACATAAACAAAACTCTCACACTTGATGTATTTCGGATCATCTTCAAATAAATACAAAAACATAAAGTACATATGAATTATAACAAAAATGAACAAGATAAGAATCAAACAAAATAAAAAATCAAATTAATGCAACGAAAAATATTTTAATATTAATTGTTCACAGATCGTGAAGATTTTAGATCTGTGTTTTTTTATAAGAAATAATAGATCTGGTTTGAGGCATCCCTCAACCAAAAAAAAGAGAAGAAACTAAAAAAATAACGTAGAAACCATTTCTTCAAACGAAAGTAGAAAGAGATTTAAAACGAATTTAAAACAAACAAACCCTCATTCACCATGTTTTTGGCATCACTGAGTATATTCGATTTGGACGGGTGATTCAAGGCGGCGGCGATTTGCGTCGAGCACACGAAAAGTGGCGGCGGCGCAAAGCTGTGGGAGGAGCAGCGGCGACGGCGCAAGGCTGTGGGAGAGCAGCGGCGACGGCGCAAGGCTGTGGGAGAGCAGCGGCGGCGGCGGCGCAATGGGGTGGGGGGAATAAATCGCCGGCGCAAGGCGGGGGAGCAGAGGTGGCCGCGGAGAGCTGTGGGCGAAGAGAGAGAGAGTTAGAGAGAGAAAGGAGAGAGAGAGAGAGAGAGAGAGAGAGAGAGAGAGAGAGAGAGAGAGAGAGAGAGAGAGAGAGAGAGAGAGAGAGAGAGAGAGAGTAACGGCTGAGAGAGTATGATTGTGGAAAAGAAAAAAGGCGAGTTAGGGTTTGAATTGTAACTAAAAGGGTAAAACAAATATTTCAATTTATTCAGGGGTCTGTCAAATTAAGATTAGAATTTGAATTTTTGACTAGGGAAGAAAAATCCATAGGACATATTCATATATATTTTCAAAACTAGGAGGTATCCCACATTTCCCCTTTTTTTTAATGAACGATACTCGTAAAATTTGACACGTAAAAATCATTTCAGTATACTAAAGCTTCATTGTTTACCCTTTACACCTTAACATTTTATTCGATACACGAGGACCAAATTTGTTTTAATTTTGATTTAAATTTAAAATTTAAGTTTTTATAAATGAAAAAACTTTTACAAATAGATTATGTGTTTTTTTGGCTCATAATCTCTTTTTAAGTGTTTGGAAAATAAACTTTTATTTTCCTTCTCTAAAAATAAGTTCCTTCGAACCTTAATTTGTTAAGATGGCCTATTTTTTCTGTTTAAGTTGATTTTCTAGTAAATTTGCAAACGCCCTATTAACGTATATATTATATAATACGTATATATTATTATTGTTATTATTTATTATAGTTACCTTGTGTAATAGGTTACCTTGTGTAATAAGGTTAGGGTTTCCTACATGTAACTATATATATGATTAATATACGTGAGAGACATAATTCTCTCTTTCTCCAACTCTATTTCTCATATATGGTATCAGACACTAGGTTAACCTAGCCGTCACCACCACTCTCCCCTTCTCAGTCGCCGTCGCCTTCTCTTCTTCTCCATGGCTGGTGACGAAGCTTCTTCTTCCACCGCCCCGCTCAATCCTTTCCACCTTCTTATGCCATCTCCAATATTAAATCTCTCATCCCGTCATCCTAGATCTGAAAAATCCCAACTATCAAAAGTGGAGCCATTTTTTCACAATTACCGTCGGTCGTTTCTGCCTCTCCGATCTTCTCCATGGAAAACCCCGACCCGATTCAATTTCCGCCGATGAATGGCAACGCGCCGACTACCTCCTCCAATCTTGGATCTACGGCACCATCTCCGATGGTTTGTCCAGCATGGTTCTCTCCAAAACATCCACCGCCAGTGATCTCTGGACCGCTATCTCTTCTCTCTTCATCGATAATAAAGATTATCGGGCCATTCAACTTGAAGAAAAATTCAAGTCCCTCAAGAAAGGCACTCTCTCCATTCACGATTATTGCCAAATAATCAAAACCACGGCGGACAGCTTGGCCGATATCGGAAATCCAATCTCCGACAAACAACTCGTCTTACAAACCCTACACGGCCTTCCAAAAAATTATGGGACCGTCGCCAATCTCATCTTCTTTCTGGACCCCCTTCCCACTTTTCTACAGACTCGATCGCTTCTTCAGATGGAAGAAACAAGACTTGCTGAACCTGAACAGACCGCTGCTATTTTCTACTCCTCCAACGAGAACTGTCTATCCAACAGTTGCAACAGTTCCTGCAATAGTTCCCGCGGAGGTGGTTCTTCGCGCTATCAGCGCGGGGTGGCCGATCCAACCGTCGCGGAGGTCGCCGCACTAACCATCACCCCATGCAACACTACCGCTACCATATTGCTCATAGCGCATCTCAACCCTGGCGCACACCTTACCGACAACAGTCGTTCCCGTCAATTCTAGGACCCGCTCCACATACATCGGGCCACCCATCCACTGCAGCAGCTCAAGCCTACTTTACTGGACCACCTGAACCCTACATTGGCCACTCGGCCCCTACTCAGGTTCATCCGCACCAGCAGCCATGCCACACCTCTAACAGTTCCATCAACAGTTGCAACAGTTCATGCAACAGTGCCGACGTGGTGGATCTAGCAAATCATTTGAATACGGTGACACTTCAGCAGCCTACCGAGTCACAGTGGTTCATGGACAGCGGAATGACCTCTCATATGGCATCACAATCAGGTAATTTGAATTTTATTTTTAATCCTAGCAGTAATTTCCCCAAACATGTCGTCGTCGGTAATGGTTCCACCCTCCCCATCACCCACATAGGCCACACAATTCTTCCCACCACTCATTTCCGCCTCACAAATGTCTATGTCACACCCAATATCATCCAACACCTTATCTCTATTCGAAAGTTCACCCGCGATAACTCATGTTCGGTTGAATTTGACCCTTTTGGTTTTTCTGTGAAGGATCTTTGGAGTCAAGTCGAGATTTTCAGGTGCATTAGCTCCGGTGACCTATATCCATTTGGCGTCCCTCCTCCCACCTCACCTCTCGCTAATTTCCTCAATGTCGCAACACCTTCGTCTCACACTCTTTGGC